CTATGTTGAACAGTTTCTGAGTTATAAGCGATTTTGCATGTCCAGACACCCCCTATTTGAAAGGAGCCCCCTCCTCAAATATGGGGTGTATTGTAAAACTGTTGGCTGCTGCAGTGTAGGTCGGACTCAACTACAGTCCTGCCAAATTTCATGTTGATCGGTGCAGCCGTTTTTGTGCTACGGTTGACCAAAAATCACTGAAAAAAAAGAGAAAAAAAACAAACGAAAACATGACTCCTGCTTACGCTTCACGTGCGGGGGTCATAATTATGAACATTTGTTTATCCTCAAAAGCACAGTTTTTGAATTAAATGTTGCTGAGACAGCAAGTTTCTCAGTGGATCTGCGCTCGACAATGCAGCGTAGGTGGAGCAGTCGAACACAGATAAACTGATCCTTCAATACAGAGTATCTTCAGAAGTAGCCTGGGTTAAACCAGATCCTGTCCTTATATGCAGCGGGTAAAATAAGTATTGAACACGTCACCATTTTTCTCAATAAATATATTACTAGAGGTGCTAATGACATGAAATTTTCACCAGATGTTGGTAACAACCCAAGTGATCCATACATACAAAGAAATCAAACCATTCTCAATCAACCAACCTCACCTCTTTGTGTTGTTGACTGCATCTCCAAACCCCGGTGTGTCGATGATGGTGAGCCTCAGTTTGATTCCTTTCTCCTCAATGCCGATGGTGTGCTTGGTTATGCCGAGCGTTTGACAGATTCGTTCTGCCGGCACACGTTTGATCAGAAGTTACCGCAGAGGTCCCACAGCAACATGTGGACATACTAACGACTTCTGCTCAGAGAAATGATCTGAAGCAACCTTACCTTCTGCATTAGGAACTTTTCTGTCTTTGTAGATGTCCGTGAGGAACAAACTGTTGATTAATGTGGATTTACCAAGACCAGACTCTCCTACAAGTAACAAAAATAATATTTTACATTTATTCTCGATGTTAAATTTAAAACACACAGTTACAAAACACCTATAATGAAATTGTGTTTGTTATGAAACAATTATTAATCTCCACTAAATAATGCTTTCTATTAAGGTTCAAAAACAGCCTGAATCAGATGAGCAGACACAATCTGAAGACCCACCTGCCACCATGACAGTAAACGTGAAACCTTTCTTTACTGTTTTTCTGTGGACCTGATTGGGCAGTGTGGCAAAACCCACATACTCCTTATCCTGATCCTGCAGAGAGAAGACATGTATGAAAACTGACAACACGACCTCAGTGGACTGCAGACTCTTCATTCAGTCAGACATCAAGATCTTCTCATGCTTCTTAAAGAATAACATTCACACTAAAGGGCCYTGATCATTCTGAGTGGTTAAAAATCAGAGTTTCATCATCATCTGCATCTTTTATAACTTGTATCTGCAAAGCACAGTTCTGGATCCTGAACACACAGCTGGGGAGGAGAAGGAGAAAGGAAATGACTCATCTGGCTCTTGAGCAACAGGGACTGAGTAATGTTTTTCWTTTTGAATTTAAGCTTGGCTTTAGTGACATATTAAGTTTTTTCTAGCCTAAATGATTAAGGTCCCACCTCTGGAGAGTCATAGGGGTCAAAACGTCCCCAGGGGCTTCGTGGTCGTGAGGCCGGGCTGAGCGGAGAGTCCAGAGACACCTGAGAGACGAGCGGCTTCTTCACAGGCAGACACTGTGGATCTGGTCCTGCACGGGTCGGTCTGGGAGGGACTGTTGGACAATCGACGGGAGGGAAGTGCATGGAACGGGGCAGAGAAGAAGTCCCGGAGAAGCTCTGCAGCCCGTTGGAGGCAGTCAGCGTTTCCTCCGCCTCGTGGTAACCTGAGCTCTGAAAGCGTCCTGCAGCACGAGCGACGGGAGGTAGATCCCTCATGGAGAATGGGAACTGTGTGTCTTCTTGGTCCTCGATGGTGAAACTGGACAACTGGGACAGATGGCAGCAAAGTTGCACACTTTATTTAATGGATCCGAAGTGATTTTTAAAACACAACTCTATTCTAAAACTAAAAACTGAAGAGGGGTTTTTCATACAGATCAAGGGTCTGCAACTTTTATAATCAAAAAAATCTATCTAGAGCCACACAACCAGCTTGAAACTATGAAAACTACATACTTACATAGTGTTGTATTTAACACTTAAAACACAAAATATAACACACTATAGACACTTACTAGTACTTTACACTAAAACAAAGGAAGTTTCTATATGTTTGTGAGTATACCACAAAATAAAAAAAACATACTTCCATTCTAATGTATTATTTTTAATCTATAATTTATCTATTTAGTTGACTGTTTAGCTGTGACCTAGAAGATTTCCCCCAGTAAAGGCAGAGATTTTTTTAAGCTTTTTTCTAATCCAAGCTAAGCTTTGAAAATAGCAATCTCATGACACACTCAATAAACTAAAATTTGATTTAAAATAATCTATGAAAAAGTTGTTTATTATGTTTATGTTATCATTGATCTCATTATACACAGAGACAAATTAAACTTCAATTAATGCCTAATGTAAGTTGGTTTGTAGTTTGAAATCTTAATATTGTAGTGTTATACAACAGCATTAATAACCGATTTAATGTAATTTAATCATTTGATATCGTTAGTCCACATTATTACATTTATAATTATATTTCTAATTCAGACAGAATGGCCTATTTTCAACATAACTGGAGTGTGGAGTGTGTTTATTTTCAACTCAGAATATCTTCAAACTAACGAAATATAAAATTGTTAGTGAAGAAAACCAGTCTGGATAACAGCAGACTGACTGCACGTTAAATATACGACAGGTCTGGACCACACGTAAATTTTGTTCGTATCTGATAAAAATCTTACAATATGAGAAAACTGGTGAATGCAACAAGTTTTCCTAAATCACTCGCAAATCTGTTCATATGAACGGTTCTTGCATGATCTGTTCAAAACACCAACATGTGTTAAATCTCCACAGCACTGCTCTGAAAATAAAGAGCAAATAACCCTGCACAACTGAGCTGCACAATTTAAACCTCAAGACCTAAAAACTGGTTAATGAGGGAAAATGTTGCAACTTTTTCATCTCTTATGCACTTTTCTTAAGCCCCGCAGACAAAAAATAATAATAAAATAAAATAAAATAATCAGACACTAACAAGATTCATGTCCTGTTATGTAGCTTAATGGTGGTACTTGATAATTTACCACAGGGTTTTTCTCCCAGTCTGGACAGAAAAGTTAAATAGATCATTATTAGGAACCAGAGTTTATGTTTTTTTAAAGGTATTTTAGACAAAAAAACATGACACTCATGTTCCCGTATCTTTGTAAGCAAATATCCTTGTAGTTCTGCAAGAATGCAAACAAAAAGATCAAGTGGCTTCAGGGATATTCGGCGCAGGGCTGTCTGAGTTGTTTCACTTGCAGTGTTTGACTACTTTAATTCTTCACTAGGTCTGAACTGTGATCCTATTAGAACACAACAAAGGAACTCATCCATCTGTCCTGGCAGGATAACAAGAAGCACGAAGCTGAGTGTTAGTAGGATTAATCTAAACTCTCAAAGCTGTGTTTTGCTTTTGTTATTGAGCGTGGCGTCTGTGTTTTCAAGGATTTTTCCAATTAAAAGCCACGAGAGGTGCATGACGTCTTTGTTATTCCAATGCCTCACTCCGAGAGGACGTTCATTTTACAACTTCTTCTCTAAATGAACACAATTTGCTCCTGCAAGCAGTGAGGAAACTTAACAGCTTTCCAGGAAATAAACAAAACATGCAATTAGCCTAGTCTGAGGGTAGCAGAGCGACTGCAGCAGGGTTCATCTGGCATCCTTCTACCTGTCAGCTCTCATTAACCAGAAAGCTTTGCAGCAGGCTTAACCCAGCTTTTAATGCTCTATCAATGTGGGGGGTCGGAGACTTAACGTACACACACACACACACACACACACACATACAAAGTCTAACAAACAATACAATTAAATAATGTTTCAGAAATGATACTACCTGCTTTTCTGTAAAAGTTGTAGGTTTATTTTGAAGGAATAACAGGATGGGAAAAAATACAAATAGTTTTCACAAATAATAACTTTAAAAGTGTAAAACATACTTATGACATATGCTTAATTATAGTAACACAAATGAAACTAATAAAAATAAAATAAAATATTCACTAAAATGCTATGAAAAAAGCACAAAGGTTGGAAACAGAGAGAGAAAAAGGGTGACTTTAACGCACAAGCTTATTCAGAGAAAACATTTAACCCACATTTAAATTAGCTGAAACTCCTTGTTTATGATAAAACAAACAACTATTTATAATCTGTTCATGTGTAGGTGTTCAGTGATAAAACATACCTTTTTTATTGCTGCGAAATCGGACCGGAGAGGACATGTGCTCCATGCTGCTGCTGGTCTTTAAACTAGTTCCAGATCAGCTGAAGGAGGGCTGTGTCACACAATCTGTGTGTGTGGGTCCATGCGTGCAGACTCAGTGACTGACAGAGGACCTGTTACACATCTTCATCACTTACATTTACTTCCTTTTCCTCCTTAGACTTGATGGTTGTAAAAACACATTTTAAGTCCAGTTAATCTTATCTCAGCTTGAGCCTAAATACTATTCTGCAGTGTACACTGAACAACGCTAACAACAAGCTTATTGTTATCTATTCAATGCCAAAAGTCAGATATCAAGCAAAAAACATCATGCTTTAGGCAATTAATACCGGTCCCATATAGGTTTAAATTGACCTCAAACACTGCTTGAAATGAAATTCCAATATTTGTTCTAGTACTGCTTTTAATTGTCTTGACCAATAGGTTAACAGCTGCAATTCACCAGTCCCGCCTCCTCTATATTTTAATTGGTTGAAAAGACAAGATGGTCTTGAGCCGGATAAGGGTGCCTCCTCTGGGTCAGGGAAGAGGTCCTTCCCCAAGTGGAGGAGTTTAAATATCAGTGATTGGGTTCTGGTTTTGTCTCAGCTCTCGATTTACCGGTCGGTCTACGTTCCTACCCTCATATGGTCACGAGCTTTGGGCAGTGACTGAAAGAATGAGATCCTGGAGATAAGTGGCTGGAATTAGTTTCCTCCGCAGGCTGTCTGGGCTCTCAGAGATCGGGTGAGAAGCTCAGTCATCCAGGAGGGACTCAGAGTAGAACCGCTGCTCCTCCACGTCGAGAGGAGCCAGTTGAGGTGGTTCATCTGGTTAGGATACCTCCTGGACGCCTCCCTGGTTAGGTGTTCCAGGCACATGGGAAGAGGCCCAGAGGAAGACCCAGGACACGCTGGAGGGAACATGTTTGGCCTGGGAACACCTTGGGATTTCCCCAGAGGAGCTGGCCCAAGTGGCTGGGGAGAGGGAAGTCTGGGTCTCTGCTGCCCCTGTGACCCGATCCCGGATAAGCGGAAGAAAATGGATGGATGGAAAAGACAGTATGATCCAATCATAAAACAATTTCTATAACCGTTGAAACAAGCTGAAGTCAAGGTTATGCTAGCAACATTTCAACATTTTTTCGCACTTTAAGGTCAAGTACGGAAACCGAGAGCAGCCGTTTTCCTCATATTTTTTTCCATCACGAAATAATGAGGACCGTTTTCTGGAGATAAGAAGTTCATTTCCCAATGGTTTTCTTGAGATAACAAGTTTTTGTTTTTTGTACATCATTCAGTAATCTTGGAGATGGCCCGATCCCCTGAGCTGGTCACCGATAAAGTTGATTATATCTGCAGTCAGGCCAGCTGTCTCCTTGGATGATGAGGGGGCTGATATGAAAGTTATCTGTACAGAACAAACAAATCGCAGTCTGATGTGTACTTAAAAAACATAGTTATGAAATATTAGCATAAAGTTTGAATGTTGTGGTATGACCTTTTTGGAATATCATACAGTAGAAGTGAACTTAGCACTAGTTTAGGGCTGCCACGATTAGTCGATTAATCGACGACTGATCGATTATTGAAATAATCGATGACTAATTTAATAATCGATTAATCGTTTTCTTTTTTTGTTGTTCTTTACTTTGTTTTTCTCTCCAAACTGCTTTGACACCTTCCACTGCCACATCTGCCTTTTTGTCCTTGACACACATGCACAGTAGTGGTAACTGGGGTAGGCCGTGGACGTCACAAGACATTATACAGACAGGCTCTGGTATCATGGCTACCTGACAACGGAGCTCAAAAGTGTGGGATCATTTTAAGAAAATGAAAGAGGAACCTGTGTAATATCTGCAGAGCAGAACTTACCTTCCACAGCAATTAGTTTTAGTTAGCATATAAAGCGGAAAAATAAGTGTTGAACACGTCACCATTTTTCTCAGTAAATATATTACTAGAGGTGCTAATGACATGAAATTTTCACCAGATGTTGGTAACAACCCAAGTGATCCATACATACAAAGAAATCAAACCATAAATTCCAGAAATGAAGTTATTTGTAATAATGTGGAATGGCACAGGGAAAAAGTATTGAACACACTTACTGAAATTTATCTAATACTTTGTACAAAAGCCTTTGTTGTCAATGACAGCTTCAAGACGCCTCCTGTATGGAGAAACTAGTGGCATGCATTGCTCAGGTGTGATTTTGGCCCATTCTTCCACACAAACAGTCTTCAAATCTTGAAGGTTTCGTGGACCTCTTCTATGAACTCTGATCTTTAGTTCTTTCCATAGATTTTCTGTTGGATTCAGGTCAGGTGATTGGCTGGGCCATTCCAGCAGCTTTAGTTTCTTTCTCTGAAACCAACTGAGAGTTTCCTTGACTTTGTGTTTGGGCTCATTGTCTTGCTGAAATGTCCAGCCACGTTTCATCTTCATCATCCTGGTAGATGGAAGCAGATTTTTATCAAGAATGTCTCTGTACATTTTTCCACTCATCCTTCCTTCAATTATTTGAAGTTTGCCAGTCCCATATGCTGAAAAACAGCCCCACACCATGATGTTCCCACCTCCAAACTTCACTGTTGGTATGGTGTTTTTGGGCTGATGTGCAGTGCCATTTGACCTCCAAACATGATGTGTATTCTGGCATCCAAACAGTTCAATGTTGGTCTCATCTGACCAGACTATATTCTCCCAGTATTACACAGGCTTGTTTAAATGTTGTGCAGCAAACTTTAAAGGAGCTTCAACATGCTGTTTCTTCAGCAGTGGAGTCTTGCATGGTGAGCATGCATACAGGCCATGGTGGTTCAGTGCATTACTTATTGTTTTCTTTGAAACAATCGTACCTGCTAATTCCAGGTCTTTCTGAAGCTCTCCACAAGTGGTCCTTGGCTCTTGGACAACTCTTCTGATAATTCTTTTCACTCCTCTGTCAGAAATCTTGTGAGGAGCACCTGGTCGTGGTCGGTTTATGGTGAAATAATGTTCTTTCCACTTCTGAATTATGGCCCCAACAGTGCTCACTGGAACCTTCAGAAGTTTAGACATTCTTCTGTAACCGATGCCATCATTATGCTTTGCAACAATAAGGTTGTGAAGGTCTTGAGAGAGCTCTTTACTTTTACCCATCATCAGATGGTTCTTGTGTGATACCTGGCCATCATTTGGGACTGAACCAGCTGATATTAACTTGCACTGACAAGGGGCAGGCTTGTTTTCTAATTACTGAGAGAGTTCAGCTGGTGTCTTGGCTTTCCATGCCTTTTTACACCTCCCTTTCTTCATGTGTTCAATACTTTTCCCTGTACCATTCCACATTATTACAAATAACTTCATTTCTGGACATTTATGGTTTGATTTCTTTGTATATATGGATCACTTGGGTTGTTACCAACATCTGGTGAAAATTACATGTCGTTAGCACTTCTAGTAATTTATTTACTGAGAAAAATGTTGACGTGTTCAATACTTATTTTACCCGCTGTAGCTAAAATCTAACAATGGTTATATAATAGCAGCTGCATTCTGACGTGATAAGCTGTATGTTTTATATTCAATTAACGTATGATCCGATTAGTCGACTAATCGAATAAATAATCAGTGATTAATCGATTATAAAAATAATCGTTCGTGGCAGCCCTACGCTAGTTACCTAATTAGCACTAAGTTTAGATTAATTTAGTCTAAAAAACACAAAGCCGTTTTATTTGCTGAGACTCACTCACTACTTCATTATATTGTGGTCACTGAAACCATAAATGATTGTTCATTTATGAAACTGATTGACATAAGCAAAATAAAAACATTTTAGCATAAAACTTCAATTTTCTATTAATTTGCAGAACCAAGTGGAGCCAGACTTCGCCATCAGGATGCCAGGGTAACAAAGACACTGCAGACCCAACAGGCTTCAGTTTTTTCCTTGTGTAATTTTTCCGTGTTCTTGTTGAATAGTGATTTAAACTTAGTCATATTAAGGTATAATATATCTTTTTATTTAATTATCAACAGTTCAGAGTAGCTATAATTTGAGTTCAAACAAATTTGAGAAAACCCACAAGGCAACTGTAAGTAACGTGTTTCACAGCTTTTTGAGAAAATTAATCTAGAGTTCATCCACAGGCAGCTTTTGACAGATAATAATGTGTTCACATCAGCTAATAAGCATGGCCAGTTTAACCATTTAGTATTCTGTCCACCATTAAGCATTCTTGCACTTTTTGTTAATCTGCTTAAAAATATCCTATTTCTACTCAACAAAGTATGTTTCATGTTCCTGCAATTGTGTCCTTCTGCAGGAACATGAAACATACTTTGTTTTGATTTTTAAAATCATAATTCTCCATAAACAATTTTATGAACACATTTTCTCAACTGATGAGACACAAGTCCATCCATCCATCCATCCATCCATCCATCCATGCATCCATCCATCCATGCATACATCCATCCATCCATCCATCCATC